TTACTAGCGGGAAGGTAAACAGCGTTTCCGTGTGCGGCTCTGGCTCGCCAGAGCAGCAATGTCACGCTGGCCACGTGGCCCGGAAGTGTCTCCGGACAGCGCTGGCCCCCGGCCTCTTGAGTGAGATGGGCGCACAACCCTAGAGTCTGTCAAAACTAGCCCGTACGGGCAGGGGTACCTTTACCTTTACCTTTACTTGTATAGTGTATAATATTGGAATAGTGGTTTTTACAGAGAAACCTGACAAAAGAGAACTATAAAATGTGTTTATTTAACACAGTTTGAATGCTAGGGCTCCAGAAACTATGCAAGTAGCTAAAACAACACACACAAAAAACAAAGCAAGAACGACGACTGTGTCAAAGTTAAGGTATCAGGACTCTTGTTGTATAACACACTTCTCTGGAAGCTCTCCTCATTGACCATAGTAAGATTTACTTCAGAGCAAGCATGCATAAGATTGCATTGAATAAACTCTTTAGCCAAGATTTCTATTTACTTTTTGCTATGATTCACAGCCATACATAAGGCAGGGCGGGAGGAGCTGTTGCAGTCAAGAGCCACATACCAAAAGATTAAACTTTATTAGCAATTAAGTGGAATTGTACAGAAAGTTCCTCGCAGTGAGGTGAGAATCCTCACTTCTTGTTGAACATCACTTCCCATGTGTCTAACGATAAATAAGTGCCGAAACATTTGGATCAGATTACAAATGGCTATGATTAGACTGTTTTAGATCTCTCCCGCTAAGCATGGTACAAAATTAACTACAGGCTGGATAGGTTGTGTCATGGAAAGGGTTAGAGGACAAGGCAGTAGAGTGACCAGGTGAAAAAGCAGACAGCTTAACAGCTATTTGGAAGAGAGGATTTAATCAGCAGGTATTGCTTGTATTAAATTTCCTCTGCAACTATTAAAGGTGCACGAGCCTTGTTCTCTTTTTCACCTGGCCACTCTACATACCAAGTCAGGAAACCGCACAATAACTTTATGGTCTGTCTGAAACAAGAACAGGGAACAGTAACAGGAAACCTCTGGCTCCGTCAAGACACAACTAAGTCCAGTTTCTCTTAGCTCGAGACACTGTCCGTTGCAGGTTACTATCAGAATGCTACATATAATTTACAGCGGCAAGATGCAGCCAAGCAACCTGAAATAAACAGAACAAACAACGTGAAGCAGAAATAAAACGTGTAAATATTCGAGACAGTTTTGTTGGTAACACTGACGACACATTTCTACGCCTCCATCTAGTAAACTCCTTTGTACATACACCGGAGACTGCATGTCTAACAGGCTTTTTGTAACATTTCTTTCTTTTTTAAAAAAAGCTATCCCAGAAACTGCTTTTGAAATTCCCTACTTAAAAACCAAAACAAAACCAAAGCTGAATGTATTTGATTAAAAAGCAATCCAAACAACCACAAAGTTAGTCAAAATGGAAAATCAGTGTGTTTCTCTGAAATACATTGTGATATTTAGGCATTTCAGCTGGCTGGCCGACTAAAGGTTCATTCCTCCCTCCCCCATCCCCTTTTAATTTGGTGAGGAGATGGGGAGGGGGCTTTGTGTACGATTCACATTCATTCAGTGACTGCAGCATTGCTTTGTAACCCTGTGTAAACGTTTCAGTGGCAAGAAATGGAAATAAAACTGCCCCTTCTTTCCTCTTTGTAAACTTTTTTTTTTTAAAAAAAATTTGTCCAAAACAGGGAAGCACTATTTATAATGAAAGGAGAAGTATATACCGTAGAGGAAATATAAATGACTGGTTCTTTTAAACAAAAACCCACCACAAGCCAGTGCAAAGCAAGACAGGATTAAAACCTTAATGTCAGTTATAGGACAATACAACCCCTAGTTCAGGGGTGAATAACCTGAGGCCCACCAGATGCTGCTGGACTACAGCTCCCATCATCCATGACCACTATGTTGGCAGGGGCTGATGGGACTTGGAGTCTAACATCTGGAAATTTAGGTTTTTCCACCCTTGCTCCAGATAACTCAATGCCCCTAAGATAACTCAATCGCATCAGTGGGGCCTTAAGCTGCAGGAGTCCCAGAAATTGTAGCAGAATAGACATGCATATGCAATATTACTTTTGCGCTCTTGCGTTGTTTGATCCTAATTAACCACCGCCCACTGGCTCCACTCAAAATCACAAACACAGGGTAGAATCCTGAAGTTCACCCATAAGCATATACTGTACTGAAAGAGTAAGGAAGAGCTGCTGTTTAATCACCCTAATTAGAGGTATGACAAGGCGGCTAAACAGTAATTAATCTGTGTTAAGTGGCCCTGAGAATGTCCCCAGATTGTTTGTACAGCAGAGTAGTTATAGCTCATTTAAGGAAAGCTAATATGTATCAAGAGATTCTGAGACAGCAACTATGGAAGATCTAATATATACCCTTGCCCAATTTCCTGTATCCTATAAATGATTTTATTTTTATTTTTTTGGCCTTGCTGATCAGGTCAGCAGTTTGAATCCCCGCAACGGGGTGAGCTCCTGTTGCTCGGTCCCAGCTCCTGCCCACCTAGCAGTTTGAAAGCACGTCAAAGTTTGCAAGGAGATAAATAGGTACCACTGTGGCGGGAAGGTAAACTGTGTTTCCATGTGCTGCTCTGGCTTGCCAAAATTGGCTTAGTCATGCTGGCCACATGACCCAGAAGCTGTCTGTGGACAAACGCCGGCTCCCTTGGCCTATAGAGTGAGATGAGCATGCAACCCGAGAATCGTCTGCGACTGGACCTAACACTCGGGGGTTACCTTTACCTTTATGGTTGAGACAAGTTTGTATTGTTTGAAAGGTAGCAAAGAGTCAGTTTTTATTGTTCAAAAGACAATCTCTGGACACCACTTCTGCAACATACGTTATCAACAAGATTGAAAAACAAAGACATCCTGATAACACACTGCAGTCAAACTGACAGAAATTAAGCATTGTTGGGGTAGAGGGATAGGCAGACAAACCAGAAAGGAAGGGTTACAAAGTGTCTTCAGCCACTTTAAAACACACGTATACAAATACTTTCATATCATGTGGAACAATAACGCTGCAGTGTGTAAACCTATGCATGTTTACTTGGAAGTAAGACCCATGGTGTTCAACAGAGCTGTCTTCTGGGTAAGTGTGCAACAGGAATGTAACCACAGCCAAGTTTATATCTGAAAGGACTGCATTTTAATTATGGTGGAAGTTTTAAAATTGTGAATAAGTGGGCCATGAGGGAAAAAGTAGGATGACATTGGGAAAGACAGTGGAATGCAATGGTTTGGAATGAGCAGCATCTGGATTCTCTAGTCTAGGACCAATGGGTAGTTAGTCAATACCTAAAAGATTAGTGTGGAAGCACCATGCAATTATTTCCTGAGAAATTATTACCTCCATGTCCTCCACTCACAAATGGGTTAGAATCACAAGAGTTGGAAGGGAACTTGAGGATCATTTTAGTCCCACACCCTGCAATGGAGGAACATGCAGCTGACATTTACAGGGATCAAACCTGCAACCTGCCAGTTTCCATTGTAAAGACTGTAGAAGTCCAACTGTCACCCTTGAAAGTGTATGTTGGTGGTGCAGGAGACTTTTAATTTCACTGCCATAGGTTCAAGCGCCACACTGGGCAGAAGATTCCTTTTTTTGCAGGGGCTGGACTGGATTGGCCCCTGGTGTCCCTTCCAACTCTACTATTCTATGATTCTAAGACAGTTGCTCAACTGCTTGGAAATAAACTCCTTTGATTTACTTCTGAACACAAGAGGGGCAACTAATGTGCATTATTGAGAATATGCTTGTGCGTACGTTCATAGGCTGTGTGGGCTGAAAACAGAGAGGAAGTTTTCCATCCTGGAAGTGGAAGCCGGGTTGCCACATGTCTGCTTTTTCCAGGACACGGCCTCTTTTCCACGAGTCGTCATAGTGATCCATAGCTAAAAAGTAGAAGTCAGCAAATGTGCCCTCTTTTTTGCTCTTCAACCCCTTCCTCCCCTTGCAGACTGCTTGTATGTTTAACAGCTGCAACGAGAGGTAAAAATTAAACAGGCAAGATTAGACCCCTCCACGTCAGCTGCGCCTGTTAAATGTATTTCGTCAAAGTAGCTGCGAAAAGCACAGGAGCCCTGCCAGGGGTTAGAAATATGGCAACTTGTCTAAGAAGGAAGGGAGAGGTGGACAGAGAGAAGAGGCTTTCTAACTTGCTGGATATCTAAATAGCAAACAATTTTTATTTTTTTGGAGAATCGTTTTTCAAATCAAAGAAATGTTGGAAGGGGCCACCAGGATCATAGTCCAACTCCCTGCCACGCAGGAATCTTTCACCAACGTGGGGCTCACTGCCCTGAGACTGAGTTAACCAACAAGAAATACTGGGGAGAATCTGCAGCCACGAGCTTCAGACTGGGTGGCTCCCACGGGGACAGGTGGAGGGAGCCTCTTCCACCCTTCGAGAGGGAAATTATCAGGCCCAGGGAAACAAGGCCGGGCGCAAGCAGCGATTCGAACCCAGATCTCGCGCGCCGTGGACTGTGTCCCTTGACGTGGACGGTTGCCAACTTCCCTCCAAAAAAAGGGGCTGTTCAGCAGAGTCGGCGGCGAATCCTCCCGCTCCTGCGCTACAAAAGTGCAACTTTCTGGTTCCCGCGGGCCGTGCAGCCGGTGGCCGAAAAAGGCCCGCAGGAGCGCGCGCGCCCCGCGTCAGTTGGCAACCTCCCTCAGTCGCTGCACTACTATTACTACTACGTATTACTACTACGGCAAGAAGCGGCGGCGGCTCCTGCGGCTTCTCCTCCCCTCACGCCAGGCCAGGGCAGCCTCAGCCCCGGGAAGAGTCTCTCGTCCGGGCTTCCTGCTTCCCGCCAGGTGCCGGCGAAGCCGCGACAGGAACTGGGAGAGAGACGCCTCTGAGGGGAGAGAGAGAGAGGGAGGCGCCGCTGCCGCCGCCGCTGCTGCTCTGGCTGCCGACGAAGCGAGCGAGAGGCCGCCGGCGGCCACCTTCGGCCCGGACGCCCCCGGGAGCCTGGCCCGGCCTCCGCCCCGGGGCCTAGAGCCAGCGAGAGAGCGCCGAGCAGGGAGGAGGGCCGAGGAGACCCTCGCGCCCCTTTTCCCGCCTCCTCCTCCGCCCAGGCCGGGCCGGCGCCCGCCTCGCGTCTCCTCCGCGCCGGGGGTGGTGGTGGTGGTGCTGCCGCCCTCCTCCTCCGAGGCGCCCCCGAGATGCGACCATGGACTGCCGGATCAAGTGAGTGGACGCGGCGGCGGGGAGGGCGAGGCGCCGAGGCCAGGAGGGAGGAGGAGGAGGAGGGAGGAGGAAGGGGTCGCTGCTACTGGAGCCACCGCTGAGGGGACGCCGGGGGAGGCGGCGGCGTGGGGCTAGGCCGCGAAGCCTTCTCCCCTCGCTCGCCCCACACCTCAGCCCCACTGCCAGCAGCAGAGGGAGAAGCCGCGGAGGAAAGACCTTCGCCCCCCTCCCCTGTCTCCGCAGGTCAGGGTCAGCAGCCACCCGCGCAAGCTCCCTTACCTGGATGGCGCAAAGACCACCTGCACGCCCTCCATCTCCCCCCCCCCCCATCCCGTCTTATTCATTTGTATATTTATGTTTGCACCGATATACCTACCATCAAGGAGCTCAAGGTGGTGCACCTGGTTCTGCCCCCCCCACCTACAGTTCATCCTCACAACGACCCTGCGAGGGAGGTTAGAGGCTAAGTAAGAGATGGTGAGGGACGCAGGTGGCGCTGTGGGTTAAACCACAGAGCCTAGGGCTTGCCGATCAGAAGGTCGGCGGTTCGAATCCCCGCAACAGGGTGAGCTCCCGTTGTGCCAACCTAGCGGTTCGAAAGCACATCAAAAGTGCAAGTAGATAAATAGGTACCGCTCCAGCGGGAAGGTAAACGGCGTTTCTGTGTGCTGCTTCTCAGGTTTGCCAGAAGCGGCTTAGTCATGCTGGCCACATGACCCGGAAGCTGTACGCCGGCTCCCTCGGCCAATAAAGCGAGATGAGCGCCGCAACCCCAGAGTCGGTCACGACGACCCAATGGTCAGGGGTCCCTTTACCTTTACCTTTAAGAGATGGTGACCGGCCCAAGGTCACCCAAATGAACTGCTGAGTTGGGGAGATTCGAACCCTGACCCCCCCCCCAGCACTCTGGCCATTTCAGCTGGCTTGGGAGTGTCCCACCCTTCAGCTGTAGATCTCGGGGCTGTAGATCTCAGCTGTAGATTTGCAGCATGAAAAAGCAAGGTAAAAATACAAAGTACCTAATAAAAAACAAGAACGAAACAAACCAATAACCCACCCCAATATTATTATTCCTTTTATGTATACCCTCTTGATAAACACTTCACAAACATCATAGGTAACTGAAGATTTCCACTGTCCTTTACACATCTGACAGCTTTAACTTAATTAAAAATGTCTCCTCCTCCTCCTGGGTCCTTTTAAATAGCAGCTTGACCTCTGCACAGTTCACCAGGTGACAGTGCTGTGAAAAGCTTCTCCCCGTGACTTTCAGGAACTAAGCAGTTGCTAAAGTTACAAAAGCAGGCTAGGGTGGAGGATGTTTTGAAGTTGGCAACTCTGCTGCCAGCCGGCATGGGGAACCCCTCCCTCAGCATCTCCAGTGCACATTTTCAGCCTCCTTATGAACATCTGGCACTCAGACTCCTATACCTTACTAGAGGAGTCCTCCTCCTCTCTTCTACCTCCCTCCCCGACTGTCAGCCACATATTTGACAGGAACTGGGTGCTGCTTTAATTTCTGCGAAGATCATCACGCCTTTCCCTGAAGCCTGCACGTGGTTGGGTGAATATGCATGGCATATCATGGGGACCCTGCAGCCTGTCAAAACACTCATACTAGAGTCTATGAAATAGTGGTTTGGCATTGGGGGGCCCTGCAGTGGTATGGGGACCCCTCCCCAATTACAATAGAGGGCATTTTAGGGTTGTGGGGTATTAGTTTGGTAAAGAAATTCCAGTGACTAGTCCAGATGTGAACAGAAGATGCCAAAGAATTCCTAGATCAGTCTTTGTTTACTGTTTTGACATTGAATTGTAAGCCAATATACATTTTGACTGCATTAGCCAATTCTAAAGCAGATATATTTGCAAAGTGAATGATTGGGCTTTTGCCTCGTATTTGCAGTTAAAGCCTTGACCCTGTGAGACTTGCTGAACTTTAGGTTCCAAGTAGTTTTAAAGTGATAAGAAGTTTAACCTCCACTTTAACAAAGTGACAGTAATCTATTTATGATGAACCGTTTGGAATAGACCTGAAAGCCTGTCTGACATTTATTGCTCTGGGCTGACACTTTAAAATATGGTGTGAAGGACAAATAAACTTGAAAGGCCTTCTTGTGGAAGCAAATTTGTAGATATGCACAGCAGGAAGCACAAAAATTTACTACTATCATTTCAGAGACTGAATTGATGAGATGCTTATCTAGTTCCTGAGACAAGAAGTTGTGGTTACAGTTAGCGGACCTGCTATGATATAAAGTTTCTTTTTTAGTCATTGTGGGCACCTCTGCTGTTAGAAGCAGACTGAACTGCCCAAATTTTATTGCAGCCGTTTTAGGAGGGATCCAAATTGGATACTCAAATAAGGCTACATTCCTATGCACACTTACCTGGGAGCAAGCTCCATTGAATGCATTGGGACCTACGGTATTTCTGAGTAAACATGCAGAGGATTGTATGGCAAATCTTATTTTGTATGTGGATAGGCATGATAGTATTAATTCCCCACCCCAAATTGAAGTTAGGTATGTGTGTGTTGGAATTTTCAGGGGATTAAGGACTAAGGAGGTGGGCGCTTTTACCTTCTCTGAATTTTGGTTCAGGATGTACGGTACAATATTGTAGTTAAAAGAAGAAAAGGAGGTGTGTGAGAGAAATGGCTCACAGTCACAACCATATTGTTCAATTTAGCTTGCATTTTACATCACACAAATTAAAATGATCTCTATGTATACTTTTGGGTGTCTTGTCCCACTCTCCAATTGACCTTCTTGAGTGCAGCATGTACATCTTCAGTTGCTTCTACTACATCTGCTTTGACTTATGTACTTACTATTCAGTCACATGATCAAGAGAAGATGACTTCTGACTCTGTATTTACCTGTTTTGTTCATCAGGGGCTACAAGGGCATGGGAACATATGTTATTTCAGAATCTATTATTACTTTTTTAAAAAAAATCCTTTTATTTCTGACAATTTAAGTTACAAATACAGAAAGAACATAAACATTAAAACAAAATTAGTACATTCTTTAATATGAGCTTCTAGTTTGCTCATGGCTCCTCAGGTGTCATTCTGACATTTTTACCATTATCACTTAGGACCTAGCAAAATTATAATTGGTATGTGTGTTAATATTTCAATTTCAGTTCAAATTTCCAACTGATACCTGATTACCCCCCAAAATTAATTACAAAAAAACAAAACCGAGAAAAGGAAAAAAACCCCAAAGAGTGTCAAAGACAAACCCTATTAAAACTATAAAGTTCCAAGGCTCTATATATTGGAATCCAATAAGGAAGCAGATCAGCACAAGATTACGTAGCTCAGTTCTTGTTATGATGTCTGATCCAAGATGGGAAACAAATCTTCCATTTCTCTATGGGGCCTAACTTGCTTGAGAAGGTTCTTGTGTGTATTATTATTATTATTATTATTATTTAAAAAAGTGGTTCAAAAAAGGCAGTGGTGAAATGGACAAAATTCTTCCTACCTGGAGAGCAACTCTCCTTCCTTCAGTCTAACCCTTAGATTCTGGATTCTGGTCTCTTGGTTTAAACAAACATTTCTTCATTAGTGAAGCTGCAGTGTAACTCTCTTTTGTTCTCTTACATTGGTTATTTTGGGTGGTGGTTTTGTGCTAATCCCCCCTCCAATGCACAACCCTCTAGTGACTTATATTCCTCATGTAACTTCAGAGGAAACTTCTTTTTCTCTCTTCATCTACATGCTGTTCCTGTTCCTGAAATAATTACTGCTTGCTTGTATACTGGTTTCTCTGTTGTTATTAGTCGTGCTGAGCCCAGCATTCTTCTTGAAGAGGTTACGTGCATATGAAGTAAACTGCATTTGATAAGCACTTTTTAGCCAATAATCTCTGAAGTAATCATTTAGAATCCTGGCATTATCCCAAATTTGCAAATAGCACATAGTTAATTCCTGGACCAATAAACTGGTTTGTCTTACTAGGATTGTTAAGTGAACACCAGACTGGCCCAAGGTCATGCAGTGAGATTGGGTTCATGGCTGAGTGAGGATTTAAACCCAGCTTTCTCTAGTCCAGATCTGTCTGCTTTGTACATTACACCGACTCCCAAAACATTTACATGACATTAGAAGGAAATACTGGTACTGTCATAAGAACTTGGGACGGAGTTTGCATGGGAAGCAGTCGCTCCATGCTATTTTTTCAGAGCCATATTCACAACATGAAACCAACTCTGAAGCAGTTTAATCCTGAATGCTTTATTTATTTATATGGTTTCATTTATTTATAGCCCACCCTTCCACACATGGCCCCAGGGTGGGCTACATAAAATATCACCATTTCAAAACAATATGCAATTAATGAAAGTTTAAAACCACAAAACTAAACAAAGTTACAAGAGCAGCAAAATAGCAGTGCAACAATGTAGCGGGAGGGAAATCATCCACTCATCCAAAAAAAAAACAACTGATGGCCCTTGTGTGGGAGAATGGTCCACAATCTGATGGCTTTAAATAGGGAGTGGTTTTCAGCCGCTGAGCTCTCAGTTCTTTTTTCAAAAACAAGACATTCTTTGACTTTAAAAGTTTGATTTTTATTTCAGTGTTTTAATATGAGCTGGCTGATGTACAGGGCTGTAAGGAAACATGCTAACAAGTTAGATAGATAACACATTTTTGTATACGTTGCCCCCCTGAAATAAGTAATCGCATATTTGTAGTTGGTTTTTTTTGCTCACTATTGGGGAGAAAAGTATCATTTCCTCAGAACATAAAAGCAAATGTTACTTCTGATTTGTGACAGGGTATCTGAGTCATTGCATTTGTCAGCCTCCGTGTGGATTCACATGACTATTTTCCCCCAGCATGAGCCCTCCTCCCATCATCCAGTGGTCAGATCCACGTAGAAACAGATTGTGTATTACTTGAACACCACCTGTCCTGCAAGATTGAAAATTGTTTGTTGGACATGAATCTTGATGCAATTATGTGTGTATCTCATCATGGATCGATAGAGAGGAATATCTTTGTGATATGAGGAGAACAATTTAAAGTCAACATGCAGTTGAATGTTAACCAAAAGCAGTGATAATACCCTTGTAATCAGATAGTTTGCATTCTTGTGATGCATGCATAACTAATTAAATGTTTTGTTTTTACTTCCAGGGAAAATCCAGAGAGTACTTTTGATTTGGTGCTACAGGTAAAATGCCAGGCTTCTGAAAATGAAGGTAATATACTTTAGCCATTTGTATTCATATAAATTAAAGGTGAAAAATATATGTTCAGGTTGTTTATTTCACATATCTTTTTAAATGTAGGCAATATATCGAAAGACATATGCTTAATTATTGCTTAAATTGGTTTTTTTATGACACTAGATTTTCAATAATAGGAAAATTAATTACAGCTTACTATGTTACATGTGTTTTATTTACCCCTATTATTGTTAGTTGCGACAAATATAATATTTAATTGGAGACATGCAGCTTACTTTAAGTTCATGCTTTAGCTTTTCTGACCTTTTTCAATTTGCACATTCTAATGAATTTAATAAGTTGTGTTTAGCAGTATGTATAATTAGAATGTTTTAAGCAGGTGATTTTCTCTTTGGCTATGCCCCTGTAAGTAGCCATGCTATTTCAGGACTGTACCATTTAAGGATATAGGTAGGGAGCCATGTCTTAGTTTCTGGCATGCAGAATCATATAATTTGCTTGTGGAGAGTTAGCGTGTATGGGAGCGGCTGCTGGCTAGTGCTAATTTTCTACTTGGAGGGAATTTTTCTTGAAGGAAAGTCGTCACATGTGCTGTCTTCCCTGCATCTTGAAATGGTACCATCCTGAGAGTGCTGTGTCATGTGATTTTTCTTTCCTAACTTTGTAAATCACTTCTTTTTATTTGTTTGGTTCTTTCATTAGGCTTGGGCCACTGGATGGCCTATTCCTTCCTTATTAATGACACCTCTGCAACTTGGGTTGTGAACAAACCTGTTAGGACTAAATTACTTGAGGCAGCAGATACTAGACTTTTTAGATAATGCAAACATGAGAAAAATATCCACAATATCCTGTTTCTAGCATGTCTGTGACAAATAAAATGAGGTGAAATGAAGATGCGTGTTTCAAAAAGGAAACAGCATCTCTTCTACTGTTGATTGTTGGTGGCTACCTCTGGTCCACTCTGTATGAAAGGAACAGGAATAACATGCTTAAACAGCCTCTTCTGAAATATGCTATGTGGTTTGTCTTCGTTTATGCGACCACAAAGTTTTTCTAGTGTTGTGGGTAGAAAATCAGTATGCCAAAGCAGAAGTGTTTTTGTGCCTTTATGCGGAGCTTTTGAAATGGTACGAACAGCACTGAGGTCTCTAGTCACTGAGCAATAGCAATGATCAGCTGTTGAAAATACTGCCATATAAGACATTGCCAAGATTTGTCATTTCCAACATTTGTTGTTTGCAATATTATGGGCTGCTTCTATACCGAATCTCAGCTGGTTTGTCTACGCTGGGGATCTGTTTTGCCAGTTTCACCAAGGTATTGTTGCCCTGTGGGTTGCTTTGTCTTTGGACTGCATCATTGTTCGGGTTATCATAGGCTGAACTTATTCATGTCATCGACTTGTCCCATTCCCTGATCTGCTGTGTGCAACACCATTTCATGGTTCCTGTTGGATTGCATGTCTTTCCAACACTGCATTTTGCTTTCCTTCTTTGCATGTGTTTCTGTTTCCTTACTTAAAGTTCACTCTTTGGTCCTCCATTCAGTTCCTCCTATACTTGACTCCTGATTCTATTCCCATTCTTGGTTAAAACAAACAATTTTCTGATCATGAGACTTTTTTGTGTGCAGTCCAGTACTTTGTACTTCTCATGTTAGATCTCTTATAAAGCATCTAGGCATGTCTCAGCTTTTCTTTGTTTTTGTGAAGTCACTTTTTTTTTGATAATTCAGTTATTCTTCTTTTCTAGAATAATCAAACTTGGCATTATGTGTATTTTATTTTTGTCCTTCATGCTTCTTGGATGAATGGGGCTGCTCTTGAAAACAGTCTGGAAACTTCAGTTGATCCAAATTGCTGCAGTAGGATTATTAACAGGCACTTTGCTTGGACTGTATCATGCAAGGGTTGCTATGCTTTTGCTGGCTGGTTGGCCTGTCATCTGTGTGTGTGGCTTTTGTGGTGGACTCCATGTGCATATGTGTGTAAAACTGCTGGACTTCACTGGATCCAGAATATATTGTTTGAGTTGGCAACCCCATATTATTCTGCTGGTTGCCAGTTAATTTCCAAGCGAAATTCAAAGGGCCAGAGCTGACCTTTTAGATTCCTCAATGACTTGGGCCTTGATAAAAGGCCTTCTATATAAACTCCTACCACACTGGGCTGGTTTGACTGCAGTGCTAAGCAATAGTTTAGTGTTAATGGAATGAGTCTGAATGAACTGTGGGTTTGTTCATTTGCTCCTCTGATATGGCCATGAAGAGCAGATTGAAGGCTTCTGCTTCTGCTTTTAAACTAATCAGAGTTCCCTGTTAGCCTGAACTTGTGAAACTCTGATTACTTCAAACTCTTGTTAGTGAACAAGCCACAATAGATCCTGGCCTCTTTGAGTTAACTACAGTGTAAATTAACCACAGTTCCTTTGGCTTTGGAAGAAATAGTGAAATTGCATTTCGTCAAAAATGGAAGCAAAAGCTTTTGTTCTTCTGGTGTCCACACTAGAAGGGGGAGTGTGTAAGCCAGAGGCTTCTGCAGATGTAGTCACGTAGCTTTTAAGCATTATGTACCATTAAGACCATTTAAGTGGTTGCCAGGTACATTCTTTATCTGAGCTTACAATGGCATTCTCTAGGAGTGGGGTTTCTTCAGTAGCTGTTTTGTGTGATACACTTCTTCACGAAGACTGCAGGTTGACCTCCATAAAGGTTGTTGGGAAGGACACCCAAGGCCTGTTTCGGCAGGGTAAAATTATTATGTTTGGTTTTTATTCAGTCCTGTCGTTTATTGTTTTAGTGACTTTCATTGGGATAGATCCAAAGTTTACCTTCCTCTGATGGAATAAGGAAGTCATTGGATCAAACTCATTCTGGTTTTGGGACTAATAGTTCTTTCAGGGCACTATGACTGGAAAGTGGGCTGTAACTGGGTGGGGAGGGGAAGGTGGAAAATATTCTTGAGCCAAGCCTTCTCAAGAGCGATATCCTTGTATGTTTTCTTTGAATTTCATACCTGCCTTAGCTTCTAATCTGGTTACCATTTCTTTAATTTTTTTTGTTAAGGTTTAACTTCCCTTACATGCTCCTGCAGCTGCCACCTTAGTTATGATTTGGGTCAGAGAGACAGATGCTTTTAGATGTCTCTTTTGTATGTGTTCTCTGCCTTCCCCTTTTCATTTTGCCCTTTGTGTCTAGGTTGCTCTTTCATATGGTGAGAGTTGGGTAGTTACACTCTGCACTTTGGAAATAATCGCTGTATGAGTTAGATTTTCATACCAGCCTTCCTGGCCACATCCTAGTCAATGTATTTTTAAATGAGAGGATTTGCTGGCAATAACAAGTAAACACTTTTTGAAAAGTCTTAATTATTTTCTTACAGGTGTAAGGTTCCACCCTGTATTACTTATTATCACTTCTGTCTGTGTTATATTTAATTTAGTTTGGTCTCAGGGCAGAGTCCTATCATAGTCTGTCAATTGTTGGTAGCACAGTATAATGAGGACACAGCATTATACTGGGAATACTATGAATTCATCTGACTGTTAAGGCACAGTATGTGTAAATAATATTTTCAGCTTTGCAAGAGATTAGTTTGGTCATTTTTCTATCTTGAATTCACAAATTCAGCACATGCTTATTTCCTAAATAGGACCCTTTCAAGGTCCATATCACAGAATTGTAGGATTTGAAGGAACTTAATGATAATCTGGGGCCATAGAGGATAAATTCACTTCCAAATCATTTTGATCTTCATCTTGTGTCCCAGGTCTTTAGCTGCATCCATTTTACTACCATTCCCTCCCATCTTTGGATTTAATTCTGAATCAAATAAATTTTTTAAAAGGACCTGGTCTTTTTCAAATGACAAGTAAAACAGTGCCCTGCCTAGGGGCTTTATCCATATGATAGAGTCATTTATTAAACTTTATTCCAGGATCACAGGAAACAACTCTTAAAAATGTAGTTCCAGTGCCACATATCGATGGTGGGTAGGGTCAGAGGCAAAAGTGGGCAGAGCACCTAAGGTGAATTTTACTTCTGTACAGTAGGCTGCTTTCTCCATGCACTCACAAATTCTTATCTGTGCTCCACCAAGGCAAGGAAGAAGCATGGTCACAGTTCAAGAACACAGAACGGGTGGGAGATGTGGCCTGGGAAGAGTCTCAAGGGCCAGACAGACAGGCCTGGAGGGTTGCATTTGGCCCCCAGGACTGATGTTCCACATCCCTCCAACTAACAGGGTCCCTAATGTTGTATAGGAAGGCATAGCTATGTACATTTGGTGAAGGTGGGGGACTTTCTGTTTGAGGTTGTGTGTTAAAACCATAACTCTTTCATTTCCCCCCCACTTTCTAAACATTTCCCCTTACTCTGTCTTGATACTGATAACACTCCTTCCTCTGACTAGCATTTTCTACCTTCCACTTAAATTAATAAATTTAACATAAAATGTAGTGAATTATACAGTTACTTGGTCTCTTGCAGGTCTAGCCTTAAATAGATTTTCATGCTAGGATAATCTTTTGAATATGTCATACTTAGAAATGAGCCCCATTCACCCTGTGCCTGCACCCTTTTCTTCTTTATGAAAGAGATTTGTATTTTAAATGGGCTTTCTTCTTTGCATCCCATCTGCTCACTGTGCTTGATCTTGCTGTGAAGTTGGGGTTGAGTTTATGACATCACAGTCATAAGTGTTGCTGTAGAAATATCAGAAGCAGAAAATTATGGTCTCCCTGCAAAGACTGAGCAGCAGGAAAGACTGGGCTAGGAGGCAAAAAGACCTTAATATGACCTATACAGTTATCGGATTTTTGTTGAAAAATGTCCACTGGTGGAAATTTTCTAAATCTTTCTGTATTTCTTAAAAACCCTTTTGCTGAAGTATTTTTTTTAAAATAGTGTAATGCTGGCTTATTATCTTATAATTAATATGTATCTTCTGATAGGAGTCAGTTTATTCACATTAACACTTCTCTAGTTTGCAGTTGATGGAAAGGTTGTGTCGT